TCCTGGAACTCGGTGGATATACTGTCCTTCGACTTTGACTCTTTGAAAGTGGATGAAAGGGTCATTGAGGAGTACAGGAGATTGAATCACTTGAGCCAAATGGGTTTGAGGGCGATTAATTAAGTGTGATGTGTTGATTGGTATTTTTATAAATGTTATAAATGTTATAAATAAATGTAGTTATTTATACAGTTTAAAATACTTTTACAAGGGTATTGTGTAGCCCATTATTGCAATAAATCGTGTGTAAGTAATTACACCAGCGAAAGGAAAATGAGTGCCCTTTTTTATTAGGTTGAAAGGCAGGACTAAGAATATCCGAAGCCATTAGTTTTAATTTGAATTTAGAGAATCAACAAGTTGAGTATAAAAATCTTTACTTATTAAAAGGCAAAGGGCAAAAAGAAAGATGAGTATTCATGGCTCCTGAAGTAGTTAGAGAATTACAAAAGAGAAAGTGAACAAATTTGATTGAAGCTTTACTATTACGCTTTGTTATCATCATATCTTTTGAATCTCTTTGAATCTCACAGCTTTCATAATATGATGTGCTTGAAGAAAAAATGTCTGAAATTAAACATTGCACAGAGTGTAAAACCATTAAATCAGCTAAATTTCGTCAACTGAAAGGCAATAAATGGAAAGAAACTGAGAACAACAACTTAGTGAAGGTAACGTGGACAGAAGGTGTTGTTTTATGTAACATTTGTTTGATTTTTCATGCATTGTTCATTTTTCATCTCGATCATGTATCTTAATTTCGTTGTGTTTATGATCATTTCATTGACATTTGTTATATTAAGGTTATTTTAGTCAGAAAAGATTTTTCCAAACTTTGACTATAGAAGCAGATGAGAGTGTGAAAGACACACTAATGGAATGTATAAATCATGTCAAATCTCTTGATCAGAATATCCTTTCTGTTAGTTTTGATATGTCATGGTCACATGTGAGGAATGCAAATCAAGCTAGTGGATAATTTATATTTCAAGGAAATCATCAGAATTAGAATTAAAGAAATTGTTACACGAATTTTCTGCACAAAAGTCTTGTTAATTTTTATTGGCCAATTTTTGTGTACTGTTTCCCCACACCGAATTTTATACACTGGTGACCTGTATCTGTGAAAATTTTTTTTGTAGTCAATACAATCAATACAGCACAAAAAGATGTCCACAACAAAGTATCAGGAAAGAAATAATTCTGTGATGGTATGTTTTGAGCAATCTGAAGAATGGAATCTCTTGAATTTTCTAAAGCACTTGACTCAGTGGAGAGTTTGTGTGGCAGTTCTGAAGCACATCATAAGTATAAACTTCTTTTGACTGGTATTAAGGATAATAAAGAAATATCAAAAGAAAAAAGGAAAAGGCTGGGCAAGCACTGTTAGTTTACGAATCAACAGTTAAGTACTTTTTTATTATCATTATTATCATCTGGAGGAAGGAGTGTCAGTTGAGGCTGAAGAACCCTACCATTGAGGTGGTAGGCACTCGTGCTAGGTTGAGGCTGAAAAACTTCCATTGAGGTGGAAGGTGCACCTCCGATTTTTTTTTTTTAAAGCACTTAAAAATAAGTACCAGGTAACCTCAGTAAAATCCAACAAATAATTATCTCTTTTGCTTTAGAATGAAACCTGTTCTTCCAAGATCAGAGAGTTTTGGCAAGAAAGAAATCTTCAAATTACTCTTAAGGAAAAGACTGTGAAAAGTACCAAAAGAATTATCAATCAAATTAATATAGTACAAGATGAAGTGAGCAATGTTTTAGTTCTCAGTAAGAGGGACAATCTAAGGAGACTACAATCAGGTATGTTTATTATTAAATTTACAGCTCCTCATTATGCACAATGCTATTGTGTTTATTTCCTTTGTTGATTCAGTTGATTTTTTTTTAATATACATTAAGGAATTGAGGTTAATATTGAAGAAGATGGTTGCTCAAACAAACATAAATGTGGAATGGAAAAGGTATATAATAAATCTAATAACAGTGTATTATTCGAAAATAATTTATTGTTTTGTATAATTAGAATGAAACTGAACAGCCACAAACTCTGGAAGATAAAATCATCTTTTTAATGTACAGCCAACAACAAAATATCTTCTAACCATGAGTATATTGTTTTTATGATCATTTTTAGGAAGAACCTCCAACTGTGGTACTAAGGGAACAAAAAAATGCTTGCTATGCTGAGAGCTCATCAGAAACAGATTCACCAAAATCAGATTACAAAGAATTTAAGGTAGATAATTGAAAGTTTTTATGCTTATATATTCATAATTCTAATATTATGCTATTTTTGAAATTTATCAAGGATAAATATGGATTTATAACAAAAAAATATATCTGTAAAGTTTATGATCCTTGCGAAGGTACACCATCTCCCACAACACATGAAGATACAAGCCCAATCATTGTGACACCAAACAAGCCTGTTATAACTAACATATCATACAATCAATACTCTATGCACATGATTTGTGCTTTTGGGTCAACATTGCATCTTGTTAAAGAAGCCACTGACAAACAATTATATGAAGAAATTGAGAGAATTGTTAAAATACAAAATAAATCAGTCTAAGTAGCTCAATAGTTAAAAAACTTGAAGTAATTTTACAGTCAAATTATTCAATAATTGTTTCAAAGATAATGGCAGAGACAGAATTTGGAGACAATGACATAACAGAAAACATAAGGTTCCTTTTTTTCATAAGAAACACTCTATTAGACTTCACTGCAACATTCAAGTTTCTGGCACTGAAGATTATAAATAGGGATATGTCTGAAAGAACGTACATTGTAGAATGTATTTCACCAATTTTTTGAGCTTCTAGAAATTCCTTTCCCAACATAAAATACGAATGGATAGGAAAAGAAGTTAGATCAATAAAAGATGTAAATAACATTTTTTCGTGTAATATTAATATAAAACCTCGAAAAACAGATTTGTTAATTTTGAGGTTATCAGACACAACTGAAATTTTAGATATTGAAGTTTCTGGACCACCATATAATTCTACTAAAAAACACACTGTTGGGGATGCAAAAAAGCTTCTTTTGATATCTGTTTGCAATTTATGTAAAATACTTGCAAACAATTTTGATTGTTTGATCAAGGACACAAAACAAGTTAGGACATATTGCATTCAAGTAATTAACAATAGGCTCACATTATTCACTACTTCTCTCATTGATAAAAAGAAATATTTGGCCATTGAATTAGCCTCATACATAATACCTTTTTCATCTGATGCTATCTCATGCTACACAAGAATCTTTAACTTTTTGCAGTAATCTGAAATGAATTTGTCAAGCAAGAAAAAATACAAAAAAAAATTCATTCATTTATTCCTTCAATTGATAATAATAATGGTGAAGATTTACAGGAATGGGTACATCAACCTGATGATGATTTAACAGTTGTAACGGAAGATGATATGGATGAACTCTTTTTGTAAAAAGGGTTTTATTTTATACTGTAGAAATAATGTCAAAGGATATATTCTGATCATATCTAAAATGTTGCTTATTTTTAAGTATAACTAGATTAAGAATAAATGTCATGTGCTTTTTTTAACAAAAAGGATGTTCTTTTTTTCCTAACATGTGAACAAAAACTTTTAGGTTGGGTTAGAAGTAGTGGTTTTAGTATAGAGATTTTTATTATATTGTATTAATGAAACATTTCTTCAAGATATGACTTTTTTTGGCAATCAATATTTCACTATTACTATGTCCAGAAAATATGGCGGTGACACATCTTGAGAATTTTTCTTGGCAAAGTTATTGATGTTATGTAAAATAACGCACATGTGATTTTTTCTTCTTTCACCAGATGGTGTCAAGATCATAGATGTTAGCTGAATCCAAAATATTATGGCATTTGCCAAATCCAAAATAATTTTGACACTTGGTTTTAAAAAGCCAAAAGCCAAAACTCCACCAAAGTGCCATAATTCTGCAGAAATGCCATAATTAGGTTTGCCAGAATTCTGATGGGATAAATTACATTCATTTATTATATATTCATAATAATAAATAAATAAAAATTTTTTTTTGCATATGGTTGGCTCGGTCTAAAGACCTCCTATTTCTGCGCCACGTAGCCAAATTTCAAAAATAACAATTTTGTAATTTGTTCAAAAATGCAATAAAAATTTTCGAAAATAGGACTTCACGTGA